GAACATGGTAGGCTGGTAGCAGAAAAGCATCGGAAAAACTTCAGGCCTGGCGTTTTGGTACAGATTAAAGCCTTGGGCAAACTAGGAAACATTACTGCGGAAACATTTTTTCCTGCCAATGTGTCGCCATGTTTCCCAAGGTGGGCAAACACTAGGAAACAATGTTTCCGCAACACAAATTGCACTTGAGAGACATAAAATGTTTCTAAATTTGATAGGAAACATTTCTGCTTCTCGGGAAGTAAATTGTGTTTCTGCAACGATGTTTCCACGGGTGGGCAAACACAAAAACTCTTGAGGAAACATGGCGAATAACAATGTTTTCGCAACAATGTTTCCTAGTTTTCCCCAGGCTTAAGAATATACCAGATGTGTAACTTCATAGAACTTAATTTGTGTCCTCACATTTCCCTAGAAGTACACGTCATGCTCACGCCATGACATGACATGACATGACATGACATGACGCAAGCGGCACTTGCTAGGGAGATAGCCACCGTGGGACAACTTTATTACTGAGGTTACACATCTGTACATACTTAGTCTATGGTTTCGGCTTCGAAAGATTCAAAAACACATATAGATGAATCCGTTTTGATTTAATCAACGCATTTCTACTGAAGGAACAACGAAGAAGGTGTGCTTCTTTTTAATTTTGTATTCTTCTGGTCGTTTCACCAATAATATGCTTGAAAAGGATATTATCGGAGAAATGCGGAAAAATGCGTAACACAAATGGGTAGAGAATATATTTGTGACTTGTTTTCACTGCAGTTAAACTTTTTTTTTAAGATTACATGAACAGGAGAAAACATTTATTTTAGTCTAGGACCTGTATATGAGTTTGTATGCGTTTCATTTAGGACAGGTAATCTCTAGTGTTTTAAGGTAAAATGACCATTGCGGTCAACATGGCATACGTGCCAAAACCTGAATTCGGGACGAAAGTCCTGAAAATGACCCCGCCCTGAAACGGCAGTGTCGACATAGCTCTAGCTAACTTTTAAAAAGGAAAAGGAAAAGCAATAGCCTTTCTGAAGTGCTTATAGTGTTTAGAAGGGTTGGTTTTAGGGGTGGTTATTGGAAGGAAAAATTTGTCTAAGTATAATATTTTACAAGAAAATGACCATGCACCACCCCAGGTAAATTGCTAATTATGCACAAAATAACCAATAATGCCTGGCAGAAATTAAATTTTCTTATTTCCTAAAAAAATTATCATGGGTTGAGAAACTATGCTCAATTTAATATAATTATTGTGGATATCATAAGGATTGTCACTACTTTCATTAAATATAATACATTATATTTCACTTACCCCCCACGAAAACACGATTTCAGCAATATGTTGCAGTCTTGTTTGCTTTTTATCGCCAAATCTAGCAAATATCATCCAGTAATTGTTGTACTTTTACATAATCATAAATGGCTGAAGAAAATTTCAAAGAAGGTTTCATCAAGTTTTGAAACAGTGCAGTGTATTTTATCTTCGATATTGTGTCCTTCAATATTTCGTGAAATATGGCGCCATTGAAATGGCTCGCCGCTTCTCTGCCCGATAAATGCCACTTCTTCGTCTTCCTATGTATTTAGATTACAGTATCCAAAAGTAATTCATTGTAGAATAGTCCCAATCGAAAAATTGAAAACATTAGTTGCATTTGAAAGGAGAAAACCTCCCATAACAGTTGTCTTGTCAGAATTCAAGAGATGTAATTTAAAAGTCACGCGCAAGTTCGTGAAAACTATTCTTGGGCTGCATGACAGGGGGGGAAAGGGTGAATATTTTCACGAAACGTTTGTTCACCACCACAGCAACCTAACTAAACACACTATATTTATTGTATTTTTATTACTGATGATAAAAACAATAAATATTTGCGTATTTTTATCATCAATCATAAACATTCAATAAATATAGTGTATTTAGTTAGGTTTCTGTGGTGGCGAACAAACGTTTCGTGAAAATATTGACACACCCCCCTGTCATGTAGTCCACGAGGAATTTTCGCGAACTTGCGCGTGACTTTTAAATTATTTCTTTTGGATTGTTACTGAACAAGTGTTATGGGAGGTTTTCTCCTTTCAAGTGCAACTAATTTTTTCAATTTTTGGATTGGGACTATTCTACAATGAACTACTCTACAATTTTTGGATTGGGACTATTCTACAAGCGGCGAGCCATTGCATGGCGCTATATTTCACGAAATATCGAAGGACACAATATCGAAGATAAAATACACTGCACTGTTTTAAAACTTGATGAAAGCTTCTTTGAAATCTTCTTCAGCCATTTATAATTATGTAAAAGTACAGCAACTGGATGATATTTGCCAGATTCGGTGATAAAAAGCAAACAAGACGCCAAAATATGGCTGAAATCGTGTTTTCATGGGGGTAAGTGAAATAAAATGTATTATATTTAATGAGCTTATGAAATCCACAATAATTATATTAAATTGAGCATAGTTTTTCACTCCATGATAATTTTTTTAGGAAATAAGAAAATTTATTTTCTGCCAGAAATACTAGTTATTTTGTGCATAATTAGCAATTTACGTGGGGTGGTGCATGGTCATTTTCTTGTAAAATATTATACTTAGACAAATTTTTCCTTCCAAAGAGCACCCTAGAACCAACCCTTCTGAACACTATAAGCACTTCAGAAAGGCTATTGCTTTTCCTTTTCCTTTTCGGAAGTTAGAGCTATATGTCGACACTGCCGTTTCAGTGCGGGGTCATTTTTAGGACTTTCGTCCCGGATTAAGGTTTTGGCACATATGCCATGTTGAACGCCATGGTCAACTTGCCTTAAAAAGTTGAGATTATCTGTCCTAAATGGAACGCATAGAAACTCATATACAGGTCCTAGACTATTTTACAATATCTGTTTATAGCTGTAATTGTTTCGCTTTTAAGTGACCGAATACATTGAAAATTTTAAACAAAAACACAGTTTGTCAAAAATAAATCTCGTGCACCTTGAATTGAAAAAAAACGAAAGAAACTCCATGAAAATAAATTCCTAAGAATTTCGTATTAAATCGCCGCAAGTCCATAACAATCCGAAGGGATTTTCAACTCGCCACAAGTCCATAACAATCCGAAGGGAACTTTTCTGGGGTGATACAACTCCTCGATACAAGTATAAAATGATATTTAGCTTCATAGTTATTAATTAATAGAAAAGTGATCAATATTTGTGAATAAATTTATTCTCTAGATTTATTGCAACCTCGCAAGCCAGGCACTCTACTTCCGCTTGCCTCCCAAACACGCTCCAGCAGAGACCCTGAGGCTGCTCCATTTACTGTTCGGAGTACTCTGGATTTTCGGAACACTAATTAAATCGACCAATAATGGTCACACGAGTGGGTAACTGTATAACTGGTCTGATATAAGCGACGATCAAACCATCTATTTTTTCGCCGAAAGTACCAGTAAAATGTAGCGCAACTTTTAATACACGACTGTACAGGTTCGCAATCATGTACAAATCATGTACAGCGTAGTAGGCTAGTAGATACGTACGTTACTAGTTATACTGACGTTCTGCGATGCATTAGATTGTGAAATATGAAGTGGAAATCGAAATACAAACTGCTCGGACATGAAAGTGGAAAAGTAAAAGGAGTTATAATCATTCTAATGAGTAATGGTGCGACACTATAGCCTAAATCTCTGCGTATATTAAAGTGAACAGCAGCTGAAATCTGAATATATAAAAGAAGGTGTAGCAAAACAATATCGTAACTGACATATACAGCTAAGTAACACGGGAAGACGAGCATAGTCCAAGTTAATAGCCTTTATACACGTTCTGTATGAGTATACGTATTGGTTGGAAATAGATTTCCCTGACGCTTGTTTATAACATTTCCAGTTGACAACATTTAGTACAAAACAACATAGGTTACAACAAAGCCTTGGTCTTATCGACATGAATTAATACTTGTTTTACATACTCTATTAGCAGGCTATACATTTTAGTTACCTGTCAGGGACTGCACGCAGGCTAGGGTCATCCCGAATTTTTGAAGATTAGGGAATTATAAACAAGCGTTATCTGATTGTCTATCCAGCGGAAAACATATTGAATTCTAAGCGTTCTTAGGCTTGAAACACAGAACTGTGCAGAGATTGTGTAGATATGTCTTCAAAATGTCTTTTCGGCTTTTCCTTTATACAGTATATCGCATTTGCAATACGATCAGTTCAGAATGCATTTACTGTGAACGATGATGTAAATAACTCAGCCACTCCTCCCTAAGTAGCATATAGAGCGCTAATTAAAGACACTCCCAGATTTTGAGGTGTCACGTGACCAGCGTGTACCAGGATCTCTGCTGGAGCGTGTTTGGGACGGAAGTGGAAGTAGAGAGACTGGCATGCGAGGCTGGATTTATTGTATTCCATTATTATAATCAATTGGTATATTACTCAGATATTACCAATTGCGAGCTTTCGTTTCTTCCTTGAAGTTTGACAATCAAACAATTTTGTTTTGCTCATAAAACGTTCGTGGGTGTCGCATGAAACGTAATTATTTTGTATGCGTAACTATTACCATGGACATGGGAAGCACACTGACTCCTGTATTTTAAAAGTAGCTGTACTAATGCCTTGCTTACACTGTTGTATACCAGTCCTGTAATACTTGCATTTAATACCTTTCCTTTACTGGAGCAATGGGCCATGCGATTGTAAAAGTTTCGCATGCAAAACAATCCATTTGATGTCACGCCTACAAATAATTTTTTGAGCAAAACAAAAATTTGGATTGAGAAACTACGTGGGAGAAATGTTTGGAAACATAGTTGTAAATGTTTGGAAACATAGTTGTAGATGCGCGCTTCACGGAAGCTCGCAAGTGGTAGTAAATGTTGCTTGCCTCCACCACAGCGTAGCCCTTAATTAACCGGTTTGAGAAACAGATCGTTGTTGGAGATATGGTCCAAGAGTCAGTCTATTCGCTGCACTGAGGATTTCAGGACGCAATCATGGTACAGAAAGAAACATTAAACCTTTTCCAGTTCGCTCGTCTCTACAGCATCTTCTTACTACGATTGGAAAGTAATAATTATCAGTCATGGCCACCCCTTTCTTGTGTACGACTGCAAACCTTAAAATACAAAGTTCTTCGTCGTTTGTTTTTACTCAATTGTTGTTTTCACTTCGAGACAATTCCCCATCCCTCTAACACACTTCTCTTCATATAAAATGTCCGAGAACAAAATTTAACGACCAATAATTCACGCCACTCCATTTAATTAAATGGAACATTAAAATATTCATTAACTTCACTTTCTTTCTACAGATTCTCATTTGTTTACATGTCTGTAAAGTCATCTTTAATCCTAGACATTACATTTTTGATTAGACGTACATCCACATTACACAGACATTATACGACAAATATGTTGCTAATATTTCGTACCAGTCCATCGCCGACGTGCATTATCCCTTATTTATCAATATTTTACTTTCTTTCCCGTAGATCCTACTTGGTTTGCCTTTAATCAAAGTTATTTTCAGTTTGTGGCAACTCCAATCCCACAAGGAGAAGCAAAAAAAGTTTGTCTGGAAAAGAAAGGTGACCTGGCATCCACATCGAGCAAGGAAGAACAGGCATTTCTATTTAGAACATTCGTGGAAACAAATTCTGCTTGTGAGTAATGATAACTTCAAAATGTCCGATAAACTAGAGATAGATCAAAAGTAATCTGTGGTTGATACAGTAATTTCGCTTATTACGTCAAATAGCGGCCAACCATCTCCTAACTTGCAACTAGTTGGACACGCGGTTAACAACTTGACAAGAAAATATCGAGAAGAGTTTTTAGGATATTTTGTACACTGAGAGCAGAGCCTGATTTCCCCTCGCGTAGCTAGAAAATAAGGCTCTGCCGTTTTTGTGTTTATGTCAAAACATGTCAAAGATCACATGTATTTATAGAATGACTGCTAAATTTAGAGAACCAATCGCATGCAGTTATCGATACATGCTGGACGCGCGCAACTGCAAATGCTCTACAATCACGGCAATATAAATAATACAAAAACATTTTCAAATCTATCGATAGCTTTGTCACTTGTGAAATCAAACTATTTATTCTGATGCAACTGGCAATTGCTTCTATAGCTCTGTTTCCTAAGCATATTGACAGGTACCAATGACCTAATTTGACCTTGATAGTTTAAATATTTACAGTGCAAGTGTGAAAGGTCTATTTCGGCACTTATAGGACACTAAAAGGCTATAAGCGAACTATGGGTGAAGACTACTTAAATTAAATGACTTGGCTTGGTCATGATGCAAATTCACCAGGAAATTATTCCTAACATATGTACTGTAGGAAACGTTATTGATAAATTTTCTGGAACATGTGGTTAAAGTTAAATATCTCGGCTTGCAAAAAGACCACTCTCGCCTCCAATAGCAATTAATAACCTCACTCTTGTACACGACACTGACATGAGAAAAAACTTCCTGGGGTTTGGATCTTCATCATCAACCAAACTTAGCCTTTCAAGATCACCACCTTCCCATAATCCCCCCCCCCAAACATTCAGGCTTTGTAGACAAAAGCTGATGCCAAATATCGGGTCTGATCTCATTGGCTTGAGACAGGTCCATTGCATCTTGAACCAGTTAAATTTTTCAACAGACCAGGGCTTGAAATAACAACTGATCACCAATCAATAATAGGCAAGAAATTGCTTATGATCGGCGGAAAAGCAGGGTTTCCAACCTGAAAAAGCAGGGAAAGTCATGACTGCCGATCACCATGATCGGGAACTTTGGGAACATTATTTCAGGCCCTGACAGACAAACTCCATGTTGATAGTATGTGACTGTCTATATAGAGCATGCATAAGCATAGTATAGGAATAATAGAATACTGTGTTAAAGACCTTGCCAATTTAATATTTCAGATAACTAGATAAGTAAAGTAATAGTTATTTGTGATGAAATATTTTGTATTTGAATCGACTGTGATTAAAATATGTTTAAAATGCCAGGTAAAACAAACTTGTTTTCAATAAAAGTTGGCTTCCACTGAAGCTGCAGCTTTGAGGCACCATTTCACTTGTGATATTATACATTTTCATAGTGGACAGTATATAACAAGATGATGAATTTAATTAGATTAGACATAGGTTAGTAATAGCTAGGAGGACTGGGGAAGGGGCTAAAGGGAAAAACAAGGCAATTTACAAATCCATGAAATGTCCCGTATTGTCACCCATTTTTAACCAAGCTCCTTTTGCTGCGGTGAAAGGTGTGAGGTGGGTTTATGGCACCTTAAAACCAGATTGATCATTTTAGGTGGTGTTCATTGTTCATTTTATTATCACCCATTTCTAAGTTCTAGCCAAACTCCTTTTGCTCTTGCAAAAGGTGTGAAGGCAAGCAATCTGGTTTTAAGGAGCCAGAAACCTGTGCTTGTGTTCAGCTTTTTGAAGGAGCTGTCCTTTTTGCCGGATCATGGTTTAGCTTTTTGAAGGAGCTGTCCTTGTTGCCGGATCATGGTTTACTATTTTTGGTAAACGTGTTTCCTAGGCATGCTGATGAGCCAAGGTATACACTGTAAGGCGAAACAGTCTATATATTAATATATCATATGCTGAACATTGGCAGTACGAAAATTATGTCATTTACGCATTTGTAGTTTGATAAAACAAAATATCTATACTTCCACAAAAATTGGACTATTATCCTGACATCAAATGACGTCATGTCAATGACGTCATCACGTTTTGCGTCATCGAAGACGTCATAAAATTTTGACTAACGTGCGAAAAATCCTAGATCCGCCCCTGAACTATTACTATATTTTTACAATTGCTATAACTTGAGAGTTTATTTTATCCTACGTTACTTTTCAGTATATTTAAGTTGTCAGCCAAATTTCGGTTATAAAGTATAGCCTAAAATTTTAAATTTTGTAAATATATAGCGGGCTAAAATTGTAGTCATCTGTTTACATGCAAAACGAAGGCGCTCGCATTTAAAACCGGTTAGAACTGCTTTATTACCGGTTTATTTCGTCCAGAATTTTGGAGGAACAAAAATACAAAAACGGCAGAGCATTATTTTCTACGCGTGGGGAAATCAGGATTTGCTCTCAGGGTAGATATTTTGTCAAACAGAAATTTTAACGAACGGACATTTTTCCAAAGAGCGAAGGGACAATTTTCCGAAAAAACAACTTTAATGGGTCGCTTAAGCTATCAAAGTTCATGTTGTAAAATTCGCTGTTGAGCTATGCTCAAAAGAGCATGCTGACTTTTGAGATATGTTCATATCATAGGATATTCACCCCCCTTTTGATACGGGGCGAATCTGATGGGGGTGGGAGGTGGGGAAATCCTGTAACACCGAGCTTACGAAAGTGTTAGTTATTAACATGTTGATGACAATTTCCCGTACCTATTTAAATTTTAGCAGGTGATTTTGTATGGGTTGGCCTCAACGACATTGCTGAAGAAGGCACGTTTGTTTGGACAGATGGTTCTCCAAACACTTATGCGAAGTTTGCTGATGGTCAACCTGATAACTACGTGAATAATGAGCACTGTATTAACATATTAAAGCTTGAAAATGGAGATTATGGTGACGCCCCTTGTGATGCCACATTTACGTTCATTTGTGAGACGAATTATGAGTCTCTTTAAACATAAAATTAATGTCCACACTAAATGCTGCATTCCAGATGAGCGTTCTTCTTTAGAAATAACACAATTTCTGAACTTTTTTGTTATAGCGCTTATATTACTGTTTTATAAATGTCACTCAAATATTTTAGTTCTTTTCCTTCCTTTTCAATTTATGTTTTGCGGACTACGAAAACAATTTTCCGACAAATGCCGACAAATCCGTTATTTTGCGATAAAGACTATTTCAGCCCCCCTCCTCCTTAATTAAACAAGGAAGCTTTTTTACGTATTGTAGTATGCTCACAATAGATTCCTTATTACTGTATTTTGTACACAAACTCGGTTGACAGGGTTTTCTATGTTTATGATATTTTGTCTTAATTGAAATCAATGCCAGTCTGTTTAATCTGAAATAAATTGCCGGTTATGGCTTCCTAGATGCACAAAAATCCTTCCAAAAAGGGAGCCTAATTTTTAATGCAGTAGGGAGCCTAATTTTTAATTTGCAATTGTGGTAAATTGTAGTTATGTAAAATTTAAAAGCCAGAACTAACCATTCTAAATTGGCTCTTTGCATAACGGCACACTCATAATTATGTCGGAACAATGAGTCCTTTTGGGATGGAATGGGAATCGTGAAAAGGAACATTCCGATCAGTGAATTGTTGCTGATATATATATATATATATATATATATATATATATATATATATATATATATATATATATATATATATATATATATATATATATATATATATATATATATATGAAAATAAATATATTTAATTATTTATGAAATATATATATATATATATATATATATATTATTTATGAAATATATATATATATATATATATATATATATATATATATATATATATATATATATATATATATATATATATATATAACTACAGACGGTACCGTTTCGGCCTTTTGGCCCTCATCAGTGTAGTGCTGATGAGCAGGACGAAAGTAACCACTATAAATAGTTACCTTTGATGTCTCACGAATGTGGGACATCAAACCATTGCCAGAGTGCTCAAACTGCAAGCAGTGAGCATGCGCACAATGCGTAAGCAACAATGGCTCATCCTGTAGAGTGCTCAATATGACACAAAGGCCATAGAGCAATATCTAACTACAGACGGTACCGTTTCGGCCTTTTGGGCCTCATCAGTGTAGTGCTGATGAGCAGGATGAAAGTAACCACTATAAATAGTTACCTTTGATGCCTCACGAATGTGGGACATCAAACCATTGCCAGAGTGCTCAAACTGCAAGCAGTGAGCATGCGCACAATGCGTAAGCAGCAATGGCTCATCCTGTAGAGTGCTCAATATATATACATATACATATACATATATATATATATATATATATATATATATATATATATATATATATATATATATATATATATATATATATATATATATATTATATATATATAATGGATGGCAACTTTGCACTTCGCTATGTTCTCACATACCCGGGTGTAAAAAGCCGAGTACAATTAGTGCCTGGGTCCGGAGTGGGCACTTCAAGCCGTTGGCTCGGGGTTCAAAATTTCCAAAACGTAGGCCTAACAACTATATAGGCTTAAATGCATGAATAAACAGTGTAATAATAAACACGACCATGTATTGTACTTTTCGCGCTTTGAGATATTGGGATTGTGAGTTTTAACTTTCAGAGGACAACTATATTACTGACTTAATTAGCTGTATGGTAAGAGTTATATGCAGAGACCGATTAAGTATTGAATAAGCCCAAGGTCTAAACGTACGAGAAGTAAAATAGTGATCGAGACTGAATTGCTTTTTCTCAGTTGCAGTAATTTTACGCGATTTATATTTACTGGCTTTTTATTTTCAGTTACTCTACCACTCCATTTCCAATAGATCAATTACAGACGTACCTTTCTAATAATGAAGTCAAACGTGGAAAAACACTTGTGCATGCGATGAGCCACAGGGCAATTTTTAGCGTTAGTGTTGCTTAAGGGCTATATGAATCGAAAATTGACGTTGTTATTTTTTACTGTAATTTTGCTTCGTTTTGAAGATATTTCACTTTTTGTATGATATGCAAAGGACCAACCTCCTACGTCACATATGCATAATGATTTAGCACGAAAAGCTGCATATCTTTAGTATATGACTAAACAGAATCAGTAGAAAACCTGCATGGGTGTTGTTATGGACAAATCTCGTGCTCATCATCCATTTTGAGAGAATTTATTTGATAGTGACAAAATTATATAACACTTTAAAGTAAGCCATTATGCATGTGTGACGTAGAAAGTTGTTCTTTTGCATATCATACAAAATGAAATATCTCCAAAACGAAGCAAGAAAACAAAAACCTGTCACGGAAGTTACTCTACAGTTTTCAATGATCTTTCAAATTAGACTAAAAAATAACAATGTCAATTTTCGAGTCATATTATGCCCTTTAAAATTGTTCCGAGGGACATTGTCCAAGTTGTTTTCCCGCGTTTGACTATGAATAAACCATATTTACTAATTTGTGTTTACGTTTAATTAAAACGAAATAAAATATTCTTTCAAGCAAATATCTGAGTGTGTGTTTATGTATAATCCGACGCTTTTTCTCTATATAGTATTATCCTGTTTCACTCTGGTTGCAATTTGCGAGTGACGCGTTAGTCACACTGTCAGCCACACCGTTTGCATTGCGTGAGTCACACCGTGAGTCACGTTCGTTAGACTCGACCAATCAGCGTGCGGCCTCCATTTGTTAAGCGTGAGTCAGACAGCTTGTCAGGCTCAGCTAATCAACGCGCTCAGATGGTTCTGACCAGAATTATGGGTAAGTCGTTCCCTTGACCGACAGTAGCAGTCGTAACTCAGAGAGTAATGGCAGGCTTACTCCACCTGCCACCTGTGCTAACGTAACCAACCACAATGGATATCCTTGGCAACAAAAGACAAACAAAAATCGATCACATCTGATAGACAGAGCACAGACGACCGTTTTGAAGTCGATTTCAGTTTCCATTTATCAGGCTTTCACATTGGTTCTATTGTTCTATTGCAGGGAAGGAGGTATTTTAATGTGATAGATAACATATAATTTTAAATATAACTGTTATCCCTAAATTACCTGGAAATTTACGATTGTTTGTCAAGCATACATTTGTGGACTGCATACTGCTGTTAACACGTATACGTAACTGGATATGATTGGGTTATGCTTTAAGTAAACCTTTAGACGAGCTTCTAAAATTGAAAAGAGGCCACATGCATGCTTAGGAAAATCTCTGTTGGTTGTCTAAGTTTTGTGAGCTAAAATTCATTCTACTTCATAATCTGAAAATTCACTACTAATACTTGATTGGACTGAAACTCCTTGTGCTAACAAATTTATAGTCATTTGGAGTCCATCAAACTGTGCAAGTTTTCAGAATAACCATTTAATATTTTCATTGTTTTTGTATGATTTGCGAAATATTCAAACATTCACAAAGCACGGCACTGTAATTTTTATCAATTATTAAATAATTGATAGTTGGTTTGCAATCTTATATAAAACCGCGGCACCTGAAATATGTAATCATGCATGTTGTTACAAGTTTAGTAATATACATAAGAATATTACTTGACTGTGATTGGTTGATTTTAGTGTATGCATTGAATCTCAAACAGCAGTGCAAAATTCTGTAATAGCAGTGAAAAATTCTGTAATAGTAGTGAAACATTCTGTAACAACACGTCAAAAATCTGTAGCGAAAATGCACAAATATATCTGTAACAATCTGATCAGACTGGTGGAAGAAAACAGTGGGCCCACAACCAATTAGCTTAAACCAATCCTCAAGTAACCGTCACAGATTGCTTCGAAACATGACGGCCGCGCTACTAATTAAAATTATAGCTTTTATCTTTTTTAAAATGTAAACGAGCTTACCTTAACCGTTAGCTCTGTATAATGTGATATAACAAAGCACGAAAACTTTAATTGCCCGCCTGTTCGCTGTATATATGACGTATAAGTTTAAACTACAATTGTCTCGAACATTTTTATGTATATTATTAATGCGTAATTTTTGGATCGATAGTTTCTCGTGATATTTGGATAGAACAAGCACAGCTCGTGCGTGCGAGTTTTTCAAAGACCTCAAATAGCACTCGTCCTTCGGACATGTGTTATTTTAATTGATACTTGTTACAAAACTCACTCGTGCATGTTGTGCCAAAATTGCACTCGAAACTAAATTAATCTATTACTTGTACTAAGCTGGTGATAGTAAAGACAAACCCGTCGGCGCTCTGTATTTAAACCGGCAATTAAATCAGATACCCTCCTCATACTTTATCTATAACGTAATTAACGTTGAACTTGTTTCATTTTAAATAGAAAATGAATATTAATGGTTTGCGAATCTTCTACTCTGTAATTTTCGTACAATCTTTGCTGTTCCCACTTGCAAATGCTTCCGAGACTGGCTCCTGTTTTTCATCATCATTCTCAAGAGCAATTGGTCATGTACTTCGAGGATTTTTACTTGGCGAAATGAAAGTGGCTACAGTGATTGAATGCAAGAGGCGTTGTGTCATCAGTGCCAACTGTTTATCATTGAATATATTGAAAAACGGCGATGGAAGCTTTATGTGTCAGCTGAACAGTGATGTGAAGGAAAACGGAATTAAGGAACAGTTTGCACAGCATGGGTCTGGGGAGTACTATGGCTTGAAGGTACGTCCAGGAAAATTTTAGAAACGTAGTTTCCAAGAAACATTTTTCGCGGTGTTGGAGGAAACATTTTTAACAAAACATATTTTCAAAATATATTTTTTCATATTTTCAAAACATATTTTTTTCTTTCATTTTTAACAAAACATATTTTCTAGCCATGCAATTTTTCAAGGCCCATTGTGAAGTACCAAGTGTAGTCCGGCCATGTATGACAATGGTGTGGGCAATTAGGAAATATGCCGCATTATTAGCAGGAAAAAGATTTTGATATATATATATATATATATATATATATATATATATATATATATATATATATATATATATATATATATATATATATATATATAAGCCATTTGCGCTTTTGGGGCAAACACATTACATTATTAATAAAATATGTTTATATAAAAAAAATAAAAAATATAGAGTCTATTCATATTTCGTAAACTGTGCAAGCCAATGTTCCAAATGATGGAATTTTAATATCTGTCCACACAAAGTTGGGATATATTTGTAATAAACATTTGCCTGTATATAATACCTTGAAGTATTTTGGTAACTTACCACAAATATACTGCTTGGCGAGTATATATGCTAAGGAAAGATACGCGTTGTTATGTAGATATTTACGTGCATAGCCGACAGAATGAAATCATTAACTTTCTGTTGTTTCAGAAAAAGGAACTATGCGAAAACAATGGCAAAACATGCCGCACAGGTAAGATCTGTATTGATGTCTTTTCCAGTGGAATAAATTAGCACTATCATGTCGGCTAAAATTGTGAAGTCATCAAGCAAAACCTTCAAAAGAAATCCAGAATTTGACCTGTCACCATGTTCATGAATGTTGATGAAAACAAATTGTATATCAACGCTTTTTCTTTTCGCAGTTTTTTTTTGTAAGTAAAAATATAATTGAATGTGCTTGTTTTCGCGAATTTTGACAAATTTTTAAAACCAAGATGGGGGCGAAGCATCGCGAGATGGTCTGCATTGTTTTTGGAAAAAATACGCGACATTTTAAATAATCTTCTCTTAACAATTCCCTTATATACCGGGTGGCCCAAAAAAAAGTACTCCGGTTTGATTCGAAATAACTTCTAAACAAGTAAAGCTTTTAAAGAGAAATAACTTGCATCAAATAGAGGAAGGACTAACTTACATTTTGATATATTACAGTTGTATTTCACTTAAAAATTCACGGAGATATTAATGTTTAAAATCGGGAGCATATTTCTTGATGTGTCTGCAATATGCCAAAAACACTATT